TTTTGTCTTTGTAGAGACAGAGCCAGCAGAAATAAAAAGTTGTGCAGCAAGATGTGAGAAATGCACCAGGTGTTTTTTTTTTCTTTGTAGAGACAGAGCCAGCAGAAATAAAAAGTTGTGCAGCAATGATTTCAGAACATTTTGCAAATAAGATGCACTTTTTATCTTTTTGAGCACTGGGACATAGAAAACAAATGCCTGGTTGAGAAATATTTTGAGCCTGGTGAGCCATATTCAGTTTACATAAATGTGCAGGGAGCACAGGCTAGCTAAATTTCAACTTAATCCAGCTAAATTCCAGCCTAGTCCAGCTAACAGCCATGTGTATGCATGATGTTCCAAATCCCTTACTTCCTCTCAGCTCCCTGGAGGCTGGCAAAAGTTACAAGGGTAATGTTGCTAGGGCCTGAAAACCCTCTTAGTCAGATCTTTAGAACTAAATGTGTTTGGTTAAAGTAATGCTGGTATGGAAGACTTACTTATGAGTCAGATGGCCGGTCTGCCTGAACTATCAGCAGAGTTGGATGCAAAGACCAATGCAGAACAAGCCCTGAGACTGACAAATCCAGCAAATGTGAGCAATTGGTGATATTACTTGTACATCATGTGGCCACTGGCGAGGCTCAGGCTGCAGCTGAGGAAGACTTCAGGACACAAATTGCAGGCTGGCAGTGACCACAGGTCTGGGTGTCTATGTCTGGGTGTGACTGATGCCAACAACACCTAGATATGCCATCCTACCATCACCTTTTTATTAAATACAATGAAATTCAAATTTAGGAAATTTTTGCTCAGAAAAAGAGGCAAAGCCATGTTCTTCCAATTCTTGAAAGCATGGCTGTCTGCCTCTGGAATGGGTGAGCTCTGTTGCAGGCCTTAGATCACTGGTGATGGACACACAGCATCACAGATGAATGGCACTGACAGCCTGCAGACAGGATGTAAAGGTTTTATTCTTGTTTGGGTGTATCTTTATTTTTTTCTTTCAAATTCATTCTTACACCAGATTTGTGAGAGCCATTTTCTTGTCTAACTCTTGCTGCAGCAATTCGCTCATGTAAAGTCCCAAATCTGATTAATACATCTATTTGATTTAGTGCTACATTTGAAAAGCAACCAGAAGCACCAGGTGGTCCATTTCTTAAGTGAGACGTGACATTAAGAATGTTCAGCCAGTCCTGTCCTGTATTTTTGAACTTTCTGCCTGATCATTGAAATTAAAGTCACAGTTCTCACAGTGCTGGTTACAATTACAAAATTTTACAAAATCTTGGACCTATTAGAAGATGTCACCCTGTTACGTGCACTGTTGGGGGCTGGTCTCTCCAGCATGAGAAAATGGGGTTGATAGCTCATTGGTGTCGTGTACCTACTAGACATTTACTCAGCTGGATTTCTAAAGGGAAAGATAGATTATTTTATTGATAGGTTTTTAACACTGTTTGATAGTTATCATTGGATTTGATACATTTGGATGTTGAAGAAAATGTCACTTCACATAAATTGTGTAATTTATAAATCTATAAATGTCTGTGTATTAAAAATAATTATACCAATATCTATGCTTAAGATATGGATCAAATACTAGAGGTTGCCAGGATTAGAAACTGTTTCCATTATCTGAACAGTGACTGGGCAAAATCGGATCTGAGTAGTCATTAAAAAATTTAGTGATATTTTTATCTATTTTCAAATACCACTCTAAACTTTATAGTGTTTAATCTAGCTTACTTGTTAAAGAAACATAAAAAGAGGCATTAGGAATGTAGATTTAGTGTAGCACAGCCGTTAAGATGAAGAGTAATGGCAGGAAAGCCTTAGCTCTCAGATTCTCCTGCTGTGCTAATGTCACCAAAATCATATTACTGGGTTACAGGTGTTCTTCCTTGGCTGTATGGGCAGAAGGAATGGTTCTTTTTGCCCCACAGAAGCAGGTCTTCTGACTCACTGAATTCACACATGGGTGGCATTTTATGCTCACCCACAGCAGCATGAATTGATGCATTGCTGAGGTCTTTGTTCTCTGTGTCAGGGCTCAAGCACACAGGTTAGTGCGTCCCCCATGCTGGTCAGTGTAGGGGTCTCACTCTAAGGTCAGGGCCATAGGCCAGACTGGTTGAGTTAGACCTGTTAAACCCCTCCATAAGGCATAATACACCATCCTGGTTAAAAATGCCACATTTTTCAGAAGAAAATTAAAATTTTTTGAGTTATTATTTGCAACACTATGCTTTCTGGTGAAGCGTAGTAAAAAAAGATCTATTTTGGAGGTGGTGGGAAGTCTGCTAGGCTAGCAGAAAAGAAACTGACTGGATTTGTTCCTGTGTTTGTTTGTTTACTTAAACTAGTGGTTTTCAATCTGCTAATCACCAGTGGCTGTTGTCTTTTGAAGAAACAAAAGCACAAAAGTACCAAAATTGTTTATGAAAAGCTCTTTTGTGGACCAGTGGTCTAAACTTTTTCAGTATAAAGGAAGCCTTGTCCAGTTTACAAAAAGGTCTCAGGACTGTATCTCCAGCAGAGATTTTAACACTCTATGTAAGAGTAAATTAGCTTAAACAGCCAAGGAAGATTTACAGCCGAGGGTTACTTTGTTCACTTGGCTGATGATCAAGAACAGCAAAAGACTTCCAGAAAAAGATAAACTACAGTAAAACATTGGCTCTGTGGAGCATCTTTTCCCTATATATTTAGTTGGGGGGCATCTTAGACATGTGGTTAAGTAAACGTGTGAATAACAGACATTGTTGTGATAGGGAGAAGAATGATTTGTCATTGGGTTCACCTTTCTTTATCAGGGTGACTTTCCTTTGCCAAAGACTCCTTAGTTCACTGACATTAGGAAAAGTTGTAGAAAAACAATGGTTGAGATTGAGTGAATCACATAAACACATAGCTGTATGTAGCCACATATTGCAAACAGAACAGAATGTGTGTCCCCTAAACTTCAGTCACCTGTTCATGATAAGCTGGTAACAGCCACGTCTCATCTGGGGTTTCTCTCCATATCTATTTCTCTCCAGTCAGGCATTTGCAAGTGTTCTTGGGGGTTCCTTGGCACTTAGGCTAACAGAGGACAAATCATAAGTATGATTTCTTAGCTGCTAGAGACAAGTTCTTGGAACTCCAAGGAGGTGTTTGCAATTTGTAATTTTGTCTGCAAAGATTTTTCTTAGAAGAAGTAATAGTCTGCTCTCCTCTGCTAGCAATATGTACCATTATTAGCACAAACCACAGTTCCAGGTTGTACCAATAAATAATGGAGAGGGACACTTTCAAAAGGAGATTAAAATGTGGGGGTTGGGTTGCATATTTTTGTTTTCTACCTTGCTGCTGGCTTCTTGCATGGTCAAAATAAACCTGGATATGAAGCTCATTTCATAAAACAGTCGTTGGTTTGACCCTGAGCAAAGTGTTCCCTGTACTGTAATTCCAATTTAGTAACATCTGGTCCACTTGGGAAGACAGATACCCAGGCAAGCCTGGGTTCTTGCCTAAACTTGGTTTTCAAAGGGGTGCGTTCTTCTGTTATCATTTACCTATCCAAAAGATATTAAATCTCTACATTCACATATACCACTTAGGAACAGTAATTTTACAACTTTTTTTCCTCTTGGAAACCTTCCAAATCAATATTTTTGTTCTGTTTGAGGCAAAATGGGAACACATAAAAAATTACTTTGTTCATATCCCTTTGTAGCCTGGGGCCCTTTGAGCAACAGTCAGTAGGCAAAAAATTAATATATGACTGAAAGAGATTGGTCTTTCTGTGGTTTTCTGATGATGGCTGAGGAAAAATAATGCCAGGAAATAGTAGTTTCATAATTTGTGAAAAATTATATGGCAGTGGGTATCTATTGAGTCCAGTCTGGAATATTTTGTTCCGATTGCAGCGAAAACTGCAGCTTGTGCTCTTACAACTAGCTGCCAAATCTAAAACTTGTTTCCAACTGCTGGGCATCAAATTGAGCATGTGTGAAACACAACTCTTGGAATTAAGTTTATATGAGTGAATCTTAGACCTTATCTATCATTTATTTGTCTCATGTGTGCACACACAGATATCACAGGCATTTTTATTTAATTATTTAAGAATTGCCATGTGACTTGCATTAACTCCTTCCTTTGGGTAGCTTGCTGACAGAATAGTGCAAAGGAGCAATACCTAATCCTCATACAGCTAGAACTGTTTGTGAAGAGAAAGATCCTATTAAACTGGCCCTGTCATGTGAGCAGAAATCACAATTAATAAGAAGTACTGGTTCTTAAGACAGAATATAGCTGTGCTCATACCACCAAATTCAGACTGCCGTGAGAGAGTCATAAGGTTTCATCTTAATTTCAGAGTAAATCTCTGTGCATTCAGTCTGTGTCATTTTGATGGATACAGAACTGTGCACTGCTACAAGGCCAGGACATGTATTTATTTATTCAGGAAAATATATGTCACGAAAACATTCATTGTAAAAGACTTAGTGTGCTCTAATGGTCTGATCCAGCACCACTGAAATCAATGAGAATATTTCTTTCCATGTTGGTAGTGCAGGAGTGTGCCAGCAGTACAAGCAGCATTCCTCTGGCCTGAAGTGCCTGGCACAAATGTCAAAATCATTAGGAAAATAAAAGGCTGACAAACAAGCAACCCCAGAGACATGCGACAAATTTGGAGGCAACTGAAAATACAGCTGTTTTCTAAAGTTTGTATGTGAAACATGTGTTCTGAGTAAAATGGGTTATTCGAGCTGTATGTCTATGCTCATTTGTATTATCAAAAAAAAAAAATGAAAGAGTCGTAACAGAGGAGTTCATAAAAATGGACCTTAAAAACAGCTGCAGAAAAGGGTTGGTTAGCAGTGTACTTGCCTTTTAAATTCAGCTTGCAAAACAAATTTAATTTATTCAAATTTTCATTAATTTTACCAGATTTTGATTTATTCTGCTTTAAGTAGCACCTTAAAAAAAAAAAAAAAAAAAAAAAAAAAAGTGGCAGAAATATTATTTCCTGGTTTTTAATGAATGAGCAGCCTGCAGTATAAACACTTGTTTGGTGTCATTACTTTAATGAAGAACTGCAAACCACACATTTTGGTTGCAGCTAGTTTCACACGAGTACTTCAGTCCTGGGAATTTTTAGGGTTATGCCATGAAGTGAAGCAGCCCAAGGGATATGAACCATAACTCTATGTACAGAATAAAAATGTGCCTGTGTGCATGCACAACCGTGAGCCTCTAGCAGCATTGTCCTTTGCCAGTACAGTCAGGATATGATGTGTGACCAAACCCTTCTGTCTTGGGAAGTCCCTTCCTTCAGATGTTCACTATGGGGAACATCCATCTCCTTGTCAAGGAGGCTCCTGGCCCCGTTTAGCCATGGATTTGTTGCCACAACATCATCATAACTTGCCTGCCCAGCTTTTGGGAGTGGTTTCCCAGGGTTTCCACCAACCTCTGCTGAAGCTTCCATCAGCAGTGGCTTCCCAGTCCCTCAGCAGAAGTCTTCAGAAGAAAGCCTTAAGCAGAAGGGCACCCGAGGGGATGGAAAGTATTACACAGAGTAAAAATCTTCTTTGTTGCAGACTTTTTGACTTGAGACATCCATCTTCATCTTCTCTCTGTGTTCGTTTTACCCAGCAAGCATCCAACAAAGACAAATTGTTGTTGGTGTCTGGGGTTGGCTTCCAGACAGGGACCCAGTGCACTTCACAGGCCCCCTTGAAGCCTCTCTCCCCTAGTCCCATAATTGGTTTTTCACCCCAAAGTCCAACACTCAGCAGAAATCCAGGGCAGAAAGAGGCTTGTCCAAAATAAAAGTCCTGTCCACAAATAAATAAAATCACCTTCATGTAAATCCAGATGTCATTCCTCTCCACATTGCTGTTTTGCTTTCCCATGCACAAATGGGAAAAAAGTCTAAGCTTGGTTCCTTTGTCCGCTTTGATACTGTTATTTTATCTATGGGAACATTGCCAATCTTTTTTGTGCAAGTATCCAAGCAAAAGACCCAGGAATCCTCATCCCTTTTGCCAGCATTAGTCTTTGGTCAAACCCAAGCATCTTTCTGAGCTTCAACAGATCTTGAGGTTTTGCATGTGGTGAGATTTGTTCCAAACAGATTTATAATGATTCAATTTTTTAACCATGAGATACAATGAAGACTGAGAGGGCTAAATGCACTGATTCCGGCCCTAGATGCTGTAAGACGCTTTATATTGTCTACAGACATGAGAGGGGAGCTGGGAGTCAGCATAGTGGCCACTGGCCAGTCCTGGGCTGCCAGAGAAATCCCAGCACCTCTGCAACTCAAAAGGGAAGAGGTGCTCCTCTTAAGACTTTATTTCTTTTTAAATTTTACCTTGCCGTTTTTTCTGTCAAAACCAGATTTTTTACTAAATCAGTCACATCAGGAAAAGAAATGAATGAATGAATGAATGAATGAATGAATGAATGAATGAATGATAAATACAAGCAAAACCAGCCTCTTTTTTGCAGCAATTTTGCAAAGGGCAGGGCAGAAGACAAGGACACTTCTTTCAAAATGGGGTCTTGGATTCATGCCATGACCATCCCTGACCCTTCCTGTAAGAGGAAATTTCCCTGTTCTCCCTTCTCGGGGTTTCTCCCCTTCTGTACCAACGCTGCCTGAGCCCATGGATCTGTCTTTTTAAATGCAAAACGAAGAAAGGGTCGGGAGCACGGGGCAGCCGCTCCACGCACCCAGCTCCTCCCGAACCCAGGAGAGCTGGCAGAGCCGGTCGCTGCCCTGCCTTGGGGAAGCGGCGCTCTCCGCTAACTCCTAGCTGCACCCCGCCGCTGCCTCGGCCCGGTCCGACACCGAGCAGCGGCGCTCCGGGCCGGCGGTTTTCCCTGAATCCTCATAAATAAAACTGTACATAAAGTTGCAACAGAAAAAGCGGAACTGCACAGCCGCGGTCCCGGTGAAGGAACAGCCGGTGCCCCGCCGGCCGCAGTTTCCAGCCCAGCCCCGGCGTCCCCGCGGGCCCCTCCGTGCGGGCGGCGGAGCCTCAGGCGGGGCCGCCCGGGACAGCCGCGGGCACGGCTGCGGGGGCGGCCAGCGCCTCCCGCTCCCGCTTCTTCTGCTTCATGCGGCGGTTCTGGAACCAGACCTTCACCTGGGCGTCGCGGAGGCGCAGCGAGCGGGCCACCTCGAGGCGGCGGGCCCGCGACAGGTACCGGCTGAAGTGAAACTCCTTCTCCAGCTCCGTGAGCTGCCGGGTGCTGAAGCTGGTGCGTGCGGAGCAGGCGGGAGGTTCCCCCCCGCACGGCGCCGCACCGCCTGCAACGCCGAAAAACACCGCGCTTCAGCGGGGGCAAAGGCGTGGGGTCGAGGCAGGAGAAGGGCAGAGGGGAGCCGGGATGGGAGCAGCCCCCGCCCGCTCCCCGCCGCCCCACTCACTTCTCCCGGGCGGGCTCCGCTTCGCTCGCATCCACTCGAAGGTGCGGGGCGCCGCCGGGGCCGCCGCGGGAGTCGGGCAGCCGGGCGCGGGGGCGGCCCCGGGGCCCGCGCCCAGCGCCAGGAAGGCGTCGTCCTCTCGTCGGGGGTACGGGACCTGCGGGGCACCGCGGCACAGCCCCGGCGGGAAGGCGAGAGCAAAGTACCCCAGGTCCATGACCCACGGGGCACCACGGCGTCCCGCCGGGGCAATATTGCCCTAATATAGGCCCTGGAGCGGGGCGGCACGTCCCGCCCCGCGGCCAATGGGAGCCCGGAGGGGGGAGCCCGAGCCGGGGGTCCCGGGCGCTGCCAGCTCCCCTGCCCGCTCCCGGCTGCCCGGCGTTTGCGCGGGGCTGCAGGTGGGCAGCCCGCCGCACCGGGATTCCCCCGGGACAGGCCGTTCCCCCTGCGCTCGACGGAATCGCCGCACACTTGGGACGTTTGCCGGGAGTTTAGCAGGTGAGTGAGCTGGCGCTTTCCCGCTATCCGGGCTCCCGTCCGGGTACAGCTCTGCGCTCTCCCTTGCCCTGCAGCCGGCCAGACTCCTGGGGGCTCCCACGGGAGCCCACGCGGGCACACCCAGGTCTCCCCACCCGGAGGCTGGGGCGAGGGGCGGGTTGCTACTGCACCTCATGGCACTTAATGGTCTCGTTCCATCAGATAAGTGCTCTGCAGCCTCTCAAAAATGAATCTCCTCACCGTTAACAGGCTCACACCGTTAATGGACTTTTATTTTTCCCTTGGCGATTCAGCATTGTTTACTGAGTGTTTACAGCTGGCAGAGAGCACCAAGTTGCTCTACCCAGCCAAATCGTCTAACTCTCTCTTGGTTTTCAATCCCCCAGAACAGTAGGAAACAGCAACAAGGTGAAGGAAGCGAAATCTGGACTCCCGATGTGATCATCTTTCCCTAAATGTCTCCAAATGACACTTGACCATCCAGTCTGAGCCATGGTGATGTTTGATTTGGGTAATGATCGGTTTCATCCAGTGCCTTGATAACCATGTGATATAACCATGTGTCAGTGCAGTTCAGAATAGCAGAAGGGTGTGCTGGGCAAAGTACACCTGGGCTTTGGTGACTTGGGACTGGACATACAAGGAACTTGAAGAAGGGCTACATCATGCTGCGTTGAATTAGACTTGCAACCCTCTAATTCTTTGTAGGAGGAAGTGAAGTCAGCTGGGAAATGCAAGGGTTGTACATTATTAAAAAATATATATTTCTAAATAAAAGCATGAAATTTATATGCTTTCATCCATCATCCAGTGCCTTCCACTCAACAGCTTAAGGAGCTCTACAATCTCTTGGCAAAAGTGCCATTTGCTGTGGTCAGGAAGAGGCCACAAATTTTGCAAGGACCGAGCATGATGCCAACCTCATGAAGGCAACCAGAATCCTCATAGAAGAAAACATTCCACTGGATCTCCTGTGGATTTCAGAGGGCCAGACTGTTGACAGGAAAAGGATATAATGGGGAGACATAATCAGACCATTTCACTGAGTCAGTATCAACTCTTTCCCATGGAGATTCATGCTCCGCAGCTCAGCTCCACCATTATACCCAGCTGATGAATTCAGAGCAGATCTGTCTGTTGGGTTTTTCTTGCAGGGGCCCTGAGAGGACACATTGCTAGGACAGGCATGCACATCCTGCAAGGGTACAGGAGCATTTCCCTGCACAGGGACTCTGATCAGTGACATGGCCTCAGCCCTACTTTCTCCCCAGCTAACATTGGTTTTCTACTATAAACCAACTATTGCAGAGCAATAATACGCTGGCTTTGTAGGGATTATATCCTGAACTTTGAGTCTACAGACACAGCAGCACTGAAATCTCAGAGTCCTGACACTCAGTGTTCTCCTGGCACAGACTTGTTCACTCTGATGGGCTGTGCTGCCCTGATATTCTAATAATGGAGGATCACCTAAATTTCTGTTTTCAGGGGGTGCGAGTATAAATAAAGAACAGTTTAAATCAAATACACTTTTTAGGAAACATACATTTTGAGGAAGGGGTTAAGTTCTGGATGACGCAAACTTTCTCAGCACTCCCCTGACAATCAGAGCAGTTTGGAAAATGTTATCTTCTGAACAATCAGAAGCCTGGGAACACCAGGTTTTCTCTTTAGCAGAGAATGGCTGTCCATGCAGCAGAGCATCTGTGCTCTTCAGTCTCCCCTGCTGTACAAATTCCTGCCTGCAGTGAAGGAAAGAAAATTGGCTTCAGAACAGGTCTGCTGCTTTACTTGGGTCTTGTGTTTGCAGAATGCAACTGGTTTAATTACACCTAAGACTGTTTTAAGTGCTAGAAAAGCTGTCTGTGTTCACACCAACATATGATCTTTCCATTTACCCAGCTGGATGCTGTTACGAGTTTCCTGTTCATTACCTGTTTGTTTTGGCAGGACTGTTCAAGGGTGACAAAAGCAGAAATCAGTGGCTAAATACAGGCAAAACATCTCTTGTTGATGCTCTGGCTTTAGAGGGAGGGTTTTTTCCCCGACGCAGGAATTTCAGTGTTCAGACTTAAATAGTTAAGTTCCAGTGATACAGAATAGAGTGACTGAAGCTGGTTTTTTACAAGGAGTTTAAAGGAAAACATCAAGGACTTGTTGGAAGCCAAAAGAAAGAAGAAGAAAAGTGGAGAAAAAAGAATGTGAAGAACATGATGCTGTCAGAGACAATTTGAGAATGGCTGGGAAGTTTAGGGATGCCTGTGTGTGTAGTCAAGTGATGGCGAGACAGGGGAGCTGCTGGGGCAAAAACCTCTGTGAGAACAATGGACCAAAGGAGTCCTTGTGTCACCATGTTTCTGGAAGTATGTGGGGCTCTACAAAACCTGAGAAAGCCGCTGTGGAACCAAGACATGATGTAGGAGAAAGTCCAGCCAAAAAGCCCTGAGTCCCGTTGGGTGCACTCACCTTAGGGAGGCTGCTTGAGCAGCATGTGTTGAGGGCAATGGCAGCAAAAACTGGATATTTAAACAGTGTCTCTGTTAGCACAAATAAATCACCTAAGGCTCCTGTGAGAAAGGCTATTACAGAAGGAGGGGAAGCTCTTGGGAGTTTATTTTGTAAAATGTGAATAAACCCAGGGATGCACAGAGACTCCAGGGAGTTGTTCTGGCACGTCAGGGGAGCCACCCTGTACTAGCACAGCCCTTTCAGACAGTCACAGCAACCCTCAGGAAGGGGTGTTTCCCTCTGCCATCAATGTTTCCCTGCCACAAGTTCCTCTTTCCCAGCTGACCCCTGAGATAGGAACCTCTGTTCTCCCAGTATGTGGGATTAACAACAAAGATCCTCTATATGGACACAGAGAAGAGGATAGTCCATCCCTTCTTCTGTAAAGATTTGCTCTGAAGAATGATTCCATGCTGGCCCCTTGCCAAGTAAAGCCCTGTTTCCAGTCCCACGGCTGTGACTTTTGGGACAGAAATATTACACATATTGATAACCCAGATGTGTCAAGGTAAGCCATGCTGCTGTGTGCAAAATGGGTGTCAATGAGTTTGCAGCCAAGATTTCTGTCTTGTCTTGTCTTTCTTGCTCCTAAAGATCCTAAAATGTTTCTTAGAGGAAAGATTGAGCCCATGTACCTCAGCATGGGATTGCCTACTGCTCCCAAAACTTCTGTTGCAAGAAACACTGCACTTCAGCAAATAAAGAAAATTGTTTAAATCCTACATTCATGAGTATTTTTACCCAGAAGATATCCATCCTGTCTAGTACAAATTCCTTGCTGTCTCACTCTGCTTTGTGCTTATTGTCATTGTAGCTGAGTCTTTCTGTAATTCATCCCAGAACATTCGTAAAGCTTCAGGACCCTGTGCTCCAAAAAGGAGGACAAAGACTCATCTCTGCTCCTGAGCAGCATCTGCAGAGGCTTAGGGATGTGCAGGCACAGATACCTCACTGAGTCCCATTTTGTATCTTAGCCTATGTGATCGAAGGGGTTCAGTCCTGCCCTGGTACTCCATGGCTCTCAGGCTCTGGGACTGCATTCTGCTTCTGCTGGATGGGGTTTCTGCTCCAGTCCCAGCTGGCTCAGGTCCAAGCAGAAGTAGGAGGACCCACTGTCGAGTAAAAAGTGCTCTTTGTGTGATTGATGACCCTTAACAGAGCCAACCCTCTCACTCCCCTGGCAGCCCCACTCCAAGCAAGCACCACGGGGTACCCAGTGCTGCCTCTCACGTGGGAACAGAGAGACATTGCCCGTTCAGGGATTCACTTGCCATTCAATCCCTGGTGAGTGGCTGCAGCCAACAGAGGTCCAGTTTATCTTGCACCTTTTAAAAGCAGAGGTGTGTTGTTCATCAATGTATAACATCATGTGACCACTACAGCCCTACCTGCCCTGGCAGCACCAGCCCCTTTGTGCTGCCCACCCAGCTCCAGCTTTTGTTCCCAGGCAGGTCTGCAGTGGAGTGCTGGACATCTGGGCCTGCCCACCGTGCAGTACACTGTGCCTTTGCCAGGCTGCCATTGTGTGTGGCCACTGGGCACGCACAGCAGGCTGGCATGTAGAAGGATGGCATCTCAACCTGCAGCTCCTTTCTTCTCCCCTCAGCTGACACTAACAGCAAGGCACCCTCCCAGTGGTAGACCAGCAGCCCCATCCCCTTTACCCTGTTTTTTCCCCTGGGTGTGCAGCCAGCTGCATCCTCTTCATTTTTGGACAAGGTTGCCTGCAGCCCCAGGTGACCCTGGTGTGGTCTCATAGTGGAAGCCATGGGGGTGCCCCTGAGTCCTTCCCTGGCCTGCCCATGGACCAGGGCTGGGAGCCTGCAGTGTATGCTCAGGAAGTACTTGCTAATGGAGCAGGAGGCATTTGGCTTTTTTTTTTTCCAGCCAAACACAAGTGGCACCTACAAAACTGTGGCATCGCTGGAAGCCCCTGGCTGTGCCTATCTAGGTTCCTCTGCCCTGGTGCTGCTAACCAGGCCATGCACAGTGGGACAGTGATGCCCCCCCCTCAAAAAGAAACAGGATGCAAAGGGGTAGCTCAGCCTCAGTACACTGACTGCATGGAGATAACACAAAGCCTCAGCTCCTTTTTGCACTGGGGAAACTGCTGGAATGCCGTCCAATGGTGGGTTACTGTAAAGGCCAAACCAGAAAGTAGAGACCCAAACCCCATTGATCTGAACAAAATAACTCGCATGGCCTCACTGAAGCTCTGTGCACCCCTGATATCTCTCAACCAGTGCTATCAGCAGTTGCCTATCCCAAATAGTGCAACATCACTGCCAGCATTTAGAGAGCCTGTCTCACTTTTATGGGTCTGGAGCAGATGGAGGGAGCAGGGAAGGAGAGGAAGGGGTGCCGTGCCTCCTATTTGTAAAGAAAAGCAAAGCTAAGATCAGCCCCAGGCCTGGCCTTAGCTGGCTAGTTGTGTTTTAAATAGGTGACTGGAGTTCATCACATCAGATGTTGTTGCAAAGGAGCTGAGCTCCTGTTAAGTGTGAAAGGGGGTTGTTTATAATTTATGGGTTTTAAATGATGGGCCAAGAAAAAGTCTGGCTTGTGCCAAAGTGCATCTCTCCTCTAGATTGCTGATGCTTGTACAAACATTGTAAAAATGCCAGCAATCTTGCTAAAGTTACATTACTTCTAATAATTAGGTTATCATCATGGACTTCTATTGCATTACAAAGAAGACGCCTCTGCCAGAGTCACGGAGAAGAAAGTGAGTTTATTTACAAGAAGATTCTCCCTCACACAGGCTCCTCCTCCTCCCCCACTGGAAACCATATCTGCTGGCCCCATCTTTCTGCAACATGAAAGTGATTCAGGACAGTGGGCCTCAGTAACACTGTGTTTGTGGTCAGGGCTCCTCTGAACTCCCTTCCTTCCCCAGATCTCTAAACAGCCTTTTCTTTCTTAACAGATTTGATGAAGGACTAATAGTGTAAGTCGGGGCAGACCCTGTTTCACTAACAGCCTAGAGAGCACAAAGCAAAAGGGAAAAGGACGCTGGATGTCCTGCAGAAATGGTGGCGCCTTGCTGTTTCACCGATAGAAGCGGGTGATGCAAAATATATTGTGTTTCAAGAACACACAAAAAACCTACATGGACAATTTTGTTTGTGGACACATTGATTGCAGAAAGTTTTGGAGAGACAAACGTATGTATATATTTATGGCATATTACAGAAGTATCAATCACAAGTGGTGTCTAGCATTACTTTTTGTGTTGTTTGTATGTTTTGTTTACTCCTGGGTGATGTTTCTAAGAAACAATTTGTGCAAAAACTTCCATAGAATACAATTTTAGGGCTTAAAAGGGTTAAAATATGTCTCCAAACAAAGAAGTTTATTCTGTTCTGTTTACAGATCTGTAACACATATATCCAAATTTGCTTGGTTAAAAGTGGAATTTAACAAAAGATACACTTTTCACTGTATCACAGCATTGCTGAAATCTCACAGAGGGGAAAACAAAACCCTAAGTAATATTTTAAATCATTAGTGTTCAGCTGAACATAAATACCAAATGGCAAAGAAGAAAGCAGGGATGGGATGGGAAAGAAAAGAAGAATAAATAAAAGAAAACTTGTCTATATTGACCAGAATGGGAGGTGGCAAAATATTTCTCACAATAGGAATGCCAGGTCTGTCATTAGAGGATGGTGTAGGAGCTGCAGTGTTTGTCAGACTGGAAAGCGATGCATCAGACGCTTTGGTGGGGAATGTAGAAGTTTGGATTAATATTTAACTCGACACTTTTAGAAAGAGACAAGAATAGTCTTCTCAGAGCGATATGTACTGTCAGGAAGAGACTTTAATCACAGCGTTTACAAAAGAAGTATCTCTGTAAATCCAGCGAGTTCAATACAGCCGTGTAACTAGAGAGGAGGAAACACCAGGGTTCAGAGCATCGTTCCCTTTCTTTTTCCATTTTTTTTTTCTATCTTCTTGTTACTTTAATTTTTTCTTCCCCGTGTTAAGTGTCCTGTTTGTGGCAGGGAGAGGTGGCGGTGCCCCCTGCCGCGGTCAGGCCGGGTGGGACTGTCCTTGCCGGGCACCGGGGGAGCGCGGCGGCACCGCCCAGCCACTGCCCGCACCCCGAATCAGCGTCTCCCTTCGGCTGTGTGTATCTGATTGTCAATTTTCTTTCAAAGTTTATATTTATGGAAAGAAAGAAAAAAAAAACACAAGAGGAAAAGCTCGGCCTTCCAAAGATGTCTAAAAATTGATTTATGGTTAGTATAAAGACAACAGTATAAAAATAACAAAGGAGGTGGCAGCTGCTGCGCGGATTGCTATGGAGACCCTAATGAAATTAGCACTATCAGAGGGTTTCTAATTTTTTTGCCTTCTAAGCTCCTAATTTCTTTTCTATTTTGGATAGCCAGAGTGTAATTAAAAAAAAAAAAAAAAAAAAAAAGAAAAGAAAAAAAGAAAATAGCCCACTCAAATAATATGCACGATAGATACCCAGCCAATAAATAAATGTTAACCTCACCGAGGTTTTTATATGCAGGATTTGATCTGAAACAAGATGGCCAAGAGCCCCTCTTTGTAGATCGCCTCCTCAAAGCGGCTGCGCTTCCAACTAAAGGTGGCTTCACGCGGCCGAGCCAGCTGCCAGCCACGCCACCGAGGCGCTCGAGCGGGGCCAGCCGATTAGAAATAAATACTTTAAAAATACTTTCAATATTTTTTTTAAAGTGTAACGGCTCTTTGTGTGATGCCACAGTTTGTTTTACTCTATTAATGATTTACGACTTGCTGTCTTAATTAATCCTTACATAAACTACAAACACCAGCCACTGTTACAACTGTTCAAGACTACTCTCTCAACTAGCTCAGACCGATTATACTAAATAGGTGAAATGTAAGTCACCACGGACCTGAATCCCTCTCCCGAAGTATTGGTGAAGAAACTCTACAAATACCCACATAAATACATTAAGACGAGGATAAATAATCAGTGATACAAAAAATGTCTCGCTTAAAATAATAAATACATATCATTTAGTCCAATGCGATCCTTACGTTACGGAAGAACTCATAAATTAACTTCTCTGAAATAAGCTTACGCGCGGGCGAGTTCCGGCGGCTCACGACTGGTCTAAAACACCTCAGCATGACGCGCTGCTAACACTACAGCATCTCTAAGACTTACCTTCAAGTACATCATTACCAGCTTATCAGTCCCTCGGTTGGCAGTATATTGCACTGTCATGCTTAAAACAGCTCTAAGAGAAAGGCTCCTGTTCACGGACCTACTCGGGGCTGCGGGAGAAAGAAGGGAGCTGCTAAGGGAGACAAATCCACTAATACTGTTGGCACTCGAGAGCACAGTAACACTGTCCCGTCAGAAAAGTGAGGTAATGGAGAGGGGAGCGGGGCCCGCTGGCCGCCGCCCCGCTACAGATGCGTGAGCTTGGGCGCCTCCTGCATCCGTCCCTGAGAGGTGTGGTGAGAGGAAAGGTCCGTGTAGGTAGGGTGGGGGTCGCAAGGTCCGTGGTGGTGGCCACCGGGGATCTGGGCGGCGCAGCTGTAGTCCACGCTGGCGGAGGAGGGGTGCTGCAGGTGCCCCAGGTTGAACATGGGGCCTGAGGCCGGCATGGAGTCCACGAAGTTGCCCCCCACGTAGACGGGGCTGCCCTGCAGGCTGGGGTTGGCGAAGCCGCCGCCGCCGCTCTGCATGGGGTGGGGGTCGTACTCCGCGCCCGCGTAGCGCTTCTGCTGCGGCAGGCAGCTGCTCAGCGGCGCCGTGTAGGCGGCCAGCCCGTACATGCTCTGCTGGGACTTGGCGAAGGAGGTGGGCGAGGGCGCGTCGTAGCTGAGGCTGTTGACGCCGGGGAGCTGGCTGGAGTAGCCGACGTGGTTTGGGCCGCTTAGAGGGGGGCTGCGGTCCGGGGACTGTCCGACGGGGGAGTGCATGATGCCTTTGGCTTTTTGGTCCTTTTTGTACTTCATCCGGCGGTTCTGGAACCAGATCTTGATCTGCCGCTCGGTCAGGTTGAGTAGGTTGGCCATCTCCACGCGGCGCGGCCGGCACAGGTAGCGGTTGAAGTGAAACTCCTTCTCCAGCTCCACCAGCTGCGCGCTGGTGTAGGCTGTTCGCACCCTCTTGGAGGCCGGCCCGGGCGGGCTCTTGTCCTCGCAGCTCTCTCCTGCGGGGAAGAGGCACAAAGAGACATTGGTTCCCCACACGAAAGACAGCCCCCCGTTCCTCCCGGGGTCCCTCGGAAACCTGCTGTACCCTCTCGCTCTGTCGGCGCCCGGGGAGGGGGTGCAGAGGGCCCGGGAGCGGCCTCCCACTCCTCGCTGCCCGACATACAAACCCTCCCGCAGCTGCCTCCCCCCAGAGACCACCAGCGGCCACCCGTCCAGGCAGCCCGCCCCCAGCCTGTCCCACCTGCAGCGCCCGGCAGGGCTGGGACCGCTCAGCGGGGTGGGGTGGGGGGATAGGTGGGCGATGGCAGCTGGAGGAGCAGCAGACAAGGCCCGGAGCCAGGGGGCTCAGCCCGATGGGTTCAGCCCGAGGGACTCAGCCCGACTCTCCGGGCCAGGAGTGGGTCGGGGCGAGGGTTTTGGGCTACCTGGGGGGGCGCAGGTGCTTTTCTGCTTGGAGTTCTGCCGGGACTCCTTCATCCAAGGAAATATCTGCTTGCTGAGGGTGGCGCTGGCCGAGCCCGAGGAGTTGGGGCCCCCCTTAGCTTTTTTCGGAGGGGGCACACTGGGAGGGGGGTTGGGCGGGGAGGAGGGCGGCAGGGCCGGGGGCTGGTGCTCGCCGATCCCCGGGGGCTGACTGCCCCCGGGGCCGCCCCCGCCCGGCCGCATGCAGCTCCCGCTCAGCTCGCTGCCCTTGTGGGCCGGGGCGCGGCCGGGCGCCGAGCCCTGGACGGAGCAGGCGGAGCCGGGGTACTCGCCGTCCAGGCCGGCCTGGCCGTAGGGCTGGTGGGCCGCGCCGTAGGGGTAGGCGTCGGCCTTGCTGTAGGTGTAGCCCCCGAAGAGCCCCGCGTTGTCGTAGTAGGCGGCTTTCTGCATCCTCTGCTCTGCGATCGCCGAGGCCCGCGGCCCCCGCTCAAATAACATTGACCGCCGCCCCGCGCCTCACGTCGTCGGCCCGGGCCACTCGCAGCCACCTGGGGAGGGAAACAGCCGGGACACAAAAGAGACTTTTAGAGGGGGAAATCGGCTGGTAGCCGCTGGCACGGGACGGTTCCGGCACCCCCCGCCTCCCGGCACCCTCGGCCTCCCATCCCGGGGAGGGCTGGGAGACATCAAGGAAGGAGCAGGGGACCCAAAGAAGGACCAAGAGACAAAAGGAGAGGAGCAGGGTCACCAGGCAGGAGTCAGGGCAAACTGGGCCATACCAGGGAGAGAGCAGAGTACACCAGGGAAGGACCCGGGGCAAAGGGGAAAGAGCCACCCCAGAGCGATGGTGCAGGGCGGAACGGAACACGTTGGCGGGACATCCTACAGGCCACCTTTTGAAGCATTTTGGGGGATGTTTTATTCGCTTTGTTTTGCCTTTGGACCGTTCCCGCTCCAGTTTGGCTGGATGGGACCCCGCGGTTGTAGGCAAGGGCTCTCAGGGAGCAAATGTGCTGGGTGGTGTCCCCAAAGACCCAGTGGCCCATTTCGGGCGAGAGCATCCGCGCCCCCCGCCCCGCACGCGTGCGCACGGCCGTGCACGGTTGACATGATGGATGGAGCCCGGGCTGCGGCCGGGCAGAGGCAGAAAAATCCCGTCCCCTTTGTAAACCCGCCCTTCTTCTTTCCCCGGATTCCACCAGAGTTAAAGTATAACCGGCGCCATTCACTCCCTTTACTTTGCACTATAAAGGAAGTCGCAGGTCAGCTCCCCTATTTTGATTCTGTGATGAATTAAATTCCCTCACCCAACGTTTCTCGTCCCTTTTATTTGTACCCAGTAGAAAGAACCTGAGATATTTGAGGTAATTTTTAGAAGGTTCTTTTCTTTTTTCGGCCTGCAAGCTTATGGCTCTCCCCTCCCCGCCCCCCGGCTCCCACATGAGGCTGCTCCCACCGAAAGGCACGGTCCCCTTAGGGCAGACCTTTTGAGACAGGGTGCTGTTACCTTTCTCCTTGCTGCTCCCAAAACTTCTCTGCGCTTAGTACAAGATGGAAACTGTTCTGCAGTTTTGGTGCGGCTTTTTAATATTCCCTGCTCTTATTTTTCTTGTGGGATAGGGGTTTTCTCTGACACTTTTGGCAAATTTGTAAATTAGCACATACTTCACCTGACAATGTAAGTCTGTAAATCAACATATCTTGAGACTTCCTTGTATTTCTGCAGGATTTAAGGCTACTAACATACTAGAGAAAAGTAGCTAGAAATCTTTGAAAGATGTCCGACAATTATAGTTCTCCTGCCTATACTTATGCAATACTAGGAGAGTACTCTTCTTTCTCTCGCAAGTACCCTTGGTCCCGCCAAGTATCGTTGATCTGTTCTCTAAAATTCACAGGCAAACACATCTCTGTAAGTCAAAATAACCTAAGCGAGCTGCGATCCACGGCCGCTCTCGGCGGTTTATCCCGTGTCACAGACCGCCGGGGTCCTTTTCTTTCCTAAACAAAAGCTTGAGATGATCTGTGGAGCTGACAGAACGGGAATTGTTTTTTTTCTCCTGGAAAATTTTTGTTTTAAAAGTCAGCAGATATGGACGATGGCCATAAAAATGAGTTTTAATACGATGTGATAATCTTGACGAGTATTGGAAGTATTTTTGCTCAAATAACTCTGTCTCTCTTTTCCCACTTCTGTCATCTACATTTTCGGGACCGGTCTGGACTGAGGACTTTTGTTAGCACAACACTGCCTTAAGCGTAGGCTTTTATATGCCTTGTGAAATATAGTTCCCAAAAGAATACACAGAATCTTAAGAAAGAATATTGCTGTTAAGCTGTTAAAAGCCTTATTTCTTTTCTGAAATACCAACTGCTTGTGAACTCTGCTTGAACCTAAAAAGGAGGCTATGGGCCATAAATCACATGGACAATGCTCAACTGTTTGGTGGCTCATCTTTAGATCTTAAAAAGAGAGAGAGGGTGAAAAAGAGGGAGAGGGAGACCTATCCAGGGTTTGATTTTCCACGAGTGAAAGGCCCGGGGTGATGTTTTTATAGGTAACACCAAAGCAGAGGCTCAACACTTGGTGATTTGGCCAGAAAGAGCCTACGGGGAAGAAAAAAAAACCAAAAAAAAAGGTGACATCCAAATGGTGAGGCCGAGCCGTAGGAGGTGGGCTTGGAGGCACTGAGGGTAGGAAACCGCAAAGTATCCATGTCTGTGTTTCAGATTTCCCTTCTTCCCCTCCAGAAAGGTTAACCTCATCTGAACTGTTAGGCGTTGCACATGATAATGGGACTTTTTGTCCTGCCGCTGGTTCCAGCGCTTTTGCGGGATGCCGACCCTCTCGCGGCTCTGCCTGGAGAGCAGCTGGGAGCCCAGGCGTCCAGCCGCGCGTGTGCGCGGGAGCCGGCTGGCCCAGGCGCTGCCAGTCGCTTTCCTCCCGACACTTTCATATTAAGCAGTTCTCTACTAAAACTTCCACTACACTTAATTCTGCTTCGGATCAATATCTAATATGATACCGAATAAATAAGAGGCGGTGAGAGCGGCCAGCGAAGCGGTTATTAAAGCAGCCGGAGCTCTCAGGGTGCATATCAATGCACCTGTCATTGCGGTTGTAGCAAAATTTATGACTGCTAGCGCCGTGGCAGTAAACGCTCCGGCCAGGAATGAAAAGGAAAACACTTCCCAAGCCCCGGCACTTTCAGAAGTGCAAAGCAGCCGGCGCGTAGGAGGGAGCCCGGCAAAAGAATCTCCCGCTCGGCACGTTTCCCGGCCGCCGGCCCGGGGCAGCCCTGTATATAAGGAAAGCGCTGGGGCCGCCGCCGGACCCGGCCGCAAGCAGGGCAGCCGGGCACCCACCGCTGGGGCTGCGCCGGGGCCGCGGATGTCTCGTCTTTGAGAGCACTGGGGAGCGCGAAGGGGCCCTGCGGGACACGGAGCGGGGCCGCCCTGGGGCCTCTCAAACCAGCTATGGAGCCCCCCAGGGAGCCACCCGCGACCCGCCGCTGGCTCCAGGCCTTGGCTGCTCCCCAGCCGGGCTCGACTTGCGCGGAACAGGGGCGGCTTCCAGCGGGGCTTTCTGCGGGCCGTTCTTTATCTGACGTGGGGGGCGGCGAGCCCGGGGTGCAGCCGCCGGCGGGTTCCACCGAGCAGCTCTCCCGCTCGGAGGGCATGGGCCGGGGCCGGGCTGCGCTCCCTGCGACGGGCCTGTCGCGATAGGGAAAGCGAGAGGTGGATGGAAAAGGAAATTTAGAGAACTCACCAAACTTACGTTTTTTCTTGATTTTTGACTTTAACTGTGTGAGTAGGATCTTCAGGTTCCTTTGGATAATCCGTGGGCACAGACCTGCAACAGAAGTGATAACTCTCAGCGGAAACTGCTTTGTTTTGGACTTTCTTCCTTAGGACTTTGTTAATAAATGCACATCTCGTCCGCAGCCCCTCACCGTGTCTTTCCGTCCGCGTCAGATCTTTTACCAGACAAAGGGTAGATGTTTCTCTTCATTTATTAATAGCGCATTGAGAGAAGCGGGGAGCAAACAAAAGTGCAAAGTGCTCCGGTTGTGGCTGGGAGACGGGCAGGGCGGCCTGCGGCAGCCGCTCCGGCGGGCCCCGGGCCCCGGCCACGAACCCATGCCTGCCTTCCCGAGCAGCCAGCCCAGTCCCGGCCGGGGCGCGGGGAGGCAGCGCACGGGGAAAGCGAGCGCCTTTGCGGGGGAGCTGCGGGCACCTTCGAGGGTCACAAGCACCTCTCCCGCCGCCCGCACCCACGGCCCGCGAGGAGTTCCGCGGAAACGAAGCTAGCGCGGGTCTGTCTCCGTTCTCCCCCCAGATACCGAATAAGACCGAGAGAAAGATAAGCGAAGAGGTCCCAGCATTGAAAATGCGCTGCAAACATTTGCGTCTCGAAATGAGTATTTTGCCTTTGTCTGTGCAATGTGTCGATTCAGGACTTTAAGAACTTAAGAGTGCCAGAAAATCCCCCACAAAGAAGCCCAGGTCATTATAAAGACGATATCTAGCCACCATAAGCCTTTGAAATGACCTTTGGCTCTTATAGCAATAACTCACCACTTAATGAACAACCAACGGAAGCGCCTCCGATAGCTCACAACACAACAGATCTTACAACTTTCCACCAAGTCTTCTCTCTCCCTAACCAAACTCAGTAGGATGCTACATTCCCCTTCCAAATCACCTTAATTTATGCTGGCAAACTGGAGTTAGGGAAGTGGAGCTTCATGATTACACATGATGCTCGCTCAGGTTCCTGGCCCAGGCCTGTCCCAGTAACGTCTTATATAATGTATTCACGTGGGCGTACGTCAACTTTAAGTGCTTTATTTTTTTTAAAGAGAATTCATTAGAAATAGCACTTTACACGGTGTATGAAGGCAACCTAAAGTGGGTTGCACCTTAGCCCCTGAGCGGAGAGATCATAATATTGCAAACCAAGTCATTGTTAGCCGCTGTTGATTAACACGGTAAGTTTTCATTTTGTGCCTAATTAATTATCGACTTCTCATCCCTTTCCGAAGCAGCTTCTCAGCCTCACAAGCGATAGCCTTCTAGCTCTAGACATGCTTTATTTAGCCAGAGCTTGGCCAAATACCAAGACTTCCACGGCCACAGGAATAACCCCCAAAGTTTGTACTGCGGAGAGAGGAGTCTGGGCACGCTGGGGTTGTGCTCGTCTCCCAGCGCTCGGAGAAGACGTTGCCAGAGCTGAACCCAGGAAAATCTTTAGAATTATTCAGGCGTGGGACCAATATAGGTATTATTGAAATTTTAGGTGAAGTTACAAGTGAGTGCTTCCATCGAGCCAAATGAAATGCTGCTTGCAGTAATTGGATTCAGCTGACTAACTTGGCAGGCCAGCAGCTTGGAGGCATAGAGCTAAGAAAAATGTTCAGTGCTTTTAACTTCTGATCGAGCAGAGCAACACGCAACAGAAAATAATAAATAAATAAATAAATAAATAAACAAACACCCTAAATTTCTCCTTTTCCTTTGGCCTCCCACCTATTTCCTTCGGGGCTCTCCGACCCCCGCCGAGGACTCGCCCGGGTGACTCGGGGAGGGCAGGGTCCGTTCCAGCCTTACACACATTCTCGCTCGACAGCACAACGCTGGGCTTTACGCAGGGGCTTTACAGCAGACATAACCGAGAGTTCACCCGGGCTCCAGGCAGGCCACCAGTCAGTAGAAGCAGGCGTTCCTGGGAGAGTCGGGCTAGTTGCAGCAGCCCAAGCGGGAGCTGAGCTGTGTTTGAGGGGAGGCTGTGTGGCCACTTCCAGACCCCCAGTCCGCCCAGAGGCACCGGTCCCCCCCAGGCATCTTCCCACCGCCTTATTGATCAAACCACACAAATGCAGGGCAAGAAACTTCTCGGTAGATAAATATCAAGCCGTGCTTCAAGTCGCAAGTGTAACTCGAAGGCATGAGCATACTGGTAACAACAGTACTAAAACAACTGCGGAAGGAACACAACAGCCACTAAGGAACACGAATGCGCTGCCAGGGAAAAAGGTTCGGGAAGACACTTGGCACGAACATTTGAGAGATCCTATGTAGGGGCTACGTTACCGATGAGCCTATTTTAAATCGCCCTTTACAAATCAACACGGCTACCCCCTGCCCGGCTAACCACGGCAATGCATTAACGTGATGCTCAATCTCACTTTGGCAATGGGAGCATCTAGCAAAGTTCTCTCCCTCGTTTGTTTGCTTATTTGTAATTCCCTTCCTGAAACCACCGAAAACTGGGGAAAGGACAGGGTTAAACGTATTCCCCTAGCTTTTGAAAATGAGTTCACTTTTTATTTAAAGAACATAATAAAAAGAAGATACAGCTTAAAACGTTCAAGTAGGTGGAGACCACTCCATACATTTGCAGCCACTATGGGCAGAGATTGCAAACAAATTCCAGACCGTCTCTGAGTAAAGGAGATAATACAGCCCCTGCGGTTAAACGTCCCATTTTGTCATGCAGTTGCTTACCTGTGTATCAATTTATCATAAACCTGGGTTCCTCACTTTTCAGGATCTGCGCTTGCAGTTCTTAGAATATATCCTTCACCCTTTGTCTGCAGACAATACTCCCCTAAACCTGATCTTGCGGTTTTACAAATATTTCCATACACCAGAATTCCCGATAGAACGAAAACAGGCTCAGGCTCAACTACCAATAAAAGAGAGCGAGTGGAAATCGGAATTTGTTGGGCTTTAAAAAAAAAAAATCAACACACAACCCTTTAGCCATCAGCCTCCTGGAACCAACGACAGCAATTGGCCGGCTCTTGTTTTGTTTTGGTTTTAAATCGTGCGGCCATTGATGAATTTTGGGGGCGAGCAGGAGAAATCCCTTTATAATCAGAAATATAGGCACTGCCTTAAAATACAGGCATATTGGCCCACGTGATCGCAGAGCAGCGCGCCGGGGCCGAGGCTGGCGCGCTCCCCGCGCCCCCGCGCAGCGGGGCTGCCGCGCCGGGCCCCGTGGGGCGGCCGGCCCCGCGCCCCTGCGCGCCCGCCCGCGCTGCCCAGCCCGCTCCGCTCCGCTCCGCACCGCTCCGCACCGCGGCCCCCGCACTTACGCGCCCTGCGGGGCCGGCGGAGCAAGGGAAAAAGGTGAATTCCGCGGGATGATCCCAGCGCGCAGAAATTCCCAGCGGAGACAGAGGAGGTATTTGGAACCAGCTGCGGCCGGGAGCCTGTGCAGGGGGCAGCTCCGCAGCAACGCTGCTCTGGCGGACAGGCGCTGGGGCCCACTGGCGTGCGCGACTTTTTGCTTTCTCCTTCTCCGGACCGGGAAGATGCGGGGCAGCGGGGACTACCCCTGTCTGGAGGCTAAACAAACGTTGGGGGAAAAAAACCCTCACGACATTTGTGCGTGTGTGTGTCTGCCCTGAGCCTGCCTCCCTGCTCTGTGTGTGTGAACAGACATGGAGCAAACCCTGTGTATATCTGTCATGTGTGCCCACAAAGCTCCCCAACAATACCAGCTAGGCAAAAGGAAAAAATATATATGTATTAGCTTCTCTGTTTGATTTTTTGTAACATATCTGTAGCTATAAATACAACACACCTAATCTAACATCTGCTATGATTTCATTACCATCCAAAGCATGTGGATGTGACAGTAACGTATTACCTTACAATACTAACCGTAAGTGCATTGTAACATTTATCTAAATTACATTGCTTTTCCTGACTTTGCAAACCAGTTATAAAAAGATTGGAGTCCAGTGATGGAAACATAAGTTCAATGTAAATTATTGTGTATGGCTTCGGATTTATAATCCTATATTTCTTCGAAATGGTGCACTTAAATCTCGCCTCAAGAAAGAGGTAATGGTTCTTTATATCCTTTTTAGTCAGCCATATATTTTGGTGTCTGGGTAGTTTTGCCGAGCCCCCCGCGCTCGCGTGTCTGTGTGTACATACAGCAACCCCTACACGCACAGCGTGTTCTGCATACTTGTGTACATGCACACAAAGCCGAACATAATTCTGGCCGCTGTTTAGACATTTTGGATGACGGAGAGGTCTTTAGCTTCCTACACAAAAGTGAGAGGGGGAAAGCTGGACACGAGCAAAGAACACGAAGAGGATTCAGAAGAAAATGCCTTTTTGGAGGGCAGTTCGGAACCCCCCGGAGAAAGCCTCCCAGCCCTTCCGTGTCTTTTCAGAGTCTAGTGAAAAGAAAAAGAAAAAGAAAAAGAAAAAGAAAAAGAAAAAGAAACGGGGAAAAATAGAAAGAAAAAGAAAAACCAGGCAAATTTAACGTGAAAATGGAGGACGGCTGAAAGAAAGGAGCACCTTTGCCACCAACGCCAGAATTAAGATATCGTAAAGGGGACTGAAAAAGTATTAAGGAACTGTTAATCCTTTGGTTGGTGGGACTCCAGCTTTGCGCGAATTTGTCTCCAGTAAAGGATCTAAGACTTCTTCAATCGGAGCATATGTTCATAGAGCAATAAAACAGAAAGATTTACAGTCTCCGCCCGCCCCCCAGCAGCCTCGCACCCTTTCAGGAATTACTTATGATGATTTATAACAACAACTCCGGCAATTGTCAAACTGATAAAATAGCCCGGGCTATATGCGAGAATAAACGCTCTTATGAAAGGGTTGCGATTTATGTTCAGGTCCATTTTACTGCGTGTCTTGGTGGAGTTTGGTTTCTTTCCCGGCCCAATAGGATAATATAAAACTTCATTGATAAAAATGTAGGAGTTCTCGTGAAGTAGCGAATCTGTTCCTTAGTCACTACCACAGCACATAAACATTTGTCATTTTTGAATAATTGAATTAATGTGTTATTGTTTGAATGTATAATTCATA